AAAAAAAAAAAAAAAAAAAAAAAAAAAAAAAAAGCAGCAAGAATAACGGCAGCAACCAAAGCTAAAATGTGAAGTATCCCGTTGTTTCTTTGGTTTCCTCTGCCGTCTCCCTACTGTGATTTTGGTTATTTTTTTTTAAAAATCCAGGCCACCTAAATTTTTAGGTATTATACGAAGACAAGTTTTGAGCAAACATACAGCCAGCAGAAAAACAAAAGTGTCAGAAAAGATAGTGTCAATTAATGAATTTTTTTTAAAACTATTCTTGATGAAGTTAAAATAAAGATTGATTTCAGAGCTAAAGAAGCAAAAAAAAGAGTAGACCAGGAAAAAAGTTCCAGCTTTCTGAAGAAGTTCCTAATAAGCATTTAGGAAAAAGCTTGCCACATCAATGCCAGTCATTTAGGTGTTTACAAAATAAAACCTTCTCCATCGGCAGTGACAAAGATTTGGAAAAAAAACAGAAAAAATTAGATTTGAGAAAACAAAGAAAAAATTGAAAAATAAAAAACAGAAAAAGAAGAACAAAGTAAAAAAGACGAAAGAAATAATATAGAAGCTGTGTGAAAGCTTTCCAATGGAATAAACCATAAGCTGCTTCTTTCTACCAGAAACTTTGGTTTACCTAAAAAAAAGTGAAAAAAATGAGAAGAAAACATCCAACAGATATGTTTACTCCTTTGTGTTTTTTCTTTGACTATAGTTCTTTTATAGTTGAGGATGGTAAACAAAAAAAGATTTTTCTCTGTCAAAGTTAAAAAAAATTTTTTTATCGAGAAAAGTCATTGAAAAAAACTTTTTTTTTACACTTGCGCTTTTCTTTTGGTGACATTTTCTACCCCTTTAGACAGTGATTATTTAAATGCTTCAACTTTAAATCTTGTTCCTCTAACTTTTTTTTTTTGTTTCATTTAAGATGACGAAGACAAGGACGAGAAGGGGAGGCAGGAGAATAGGACGGGGATAAAGTTGAACAAAAGGCAGCTGCTGTTGCCGCATTTGTCGTCACCAAAACTGATCGTTGAACTAAATCAGATTTTGCAGT